AACTGTACTTAAAGTGTAGATATACCTTGAAATAAGGGTAGTATAGCTGGCTGTTAACAATCTCTTGGGGAATGTCATTTGAGGCTTGTCTCATGTAGCGCCCATACAGGCAAATAATTGCTTGTAATACCTTGTTGAAATATCTACTGAATGTCTCCCCTGATCTTATAAAATAAGATCTCACAATGTGATTTTTAGATTTATGACCCAAAATGTTCAGTGTCATGATAAGGTGTTCTTCCACTGTTATATTCCTTGAGTCTTTTAGCAGCCTATTGTTCCTCATTATACTTGCTAGTTTAACAAAAGTATCACTCCACATTCTAATGTAATTTACATAACTATCACTAAAACCATTATAAATACGCTCTATATGTTTAATTTTAGCCCTCTCTTGTCTTCTTTTTTCCTCACTTGGACCACTACGAATTGATTTACGTCTAGCTTGCATTCTCCTTATAAATGTAATTATTATAACAAAAACAGATAGCACAACACCTTGAACCATATTAACAACACTTTGTTTATCGATACAATCCCCATCATTATCCATCTACGATACAAACATCAAATTGAAATAATTATTATACCTAGCAAACATCCATATGCAATGTCAATAATCAAAACTTTTATCAATTAAGACCCCATGAAGCATTGGACGGTAAAGAAGAAAATTTTAAGAGGCAAAAGTTCAAGCATAAGTTCAGGCATAATTACAACTTCAACTTTCAAGCCTTGTTCCCAATTAATATAGTGCAACCTACATAATACTTCATTGCAGAATTCCCAATCCCAGGCACTCCGATCATAATCTTCAGGGAAATGGCCTTGTTCCGTCACTTATCACACAATACTTCATTAAAGAAATGATGTATTTTCTACCTAAACATATTACTAACTGATATCAGATTGTCATTTTTTAATGAGCTGCATCATGAAGGTAATCTCTCCAAGACCTCACTCTTTTCATTAATTCTGTTATTCTTTTTATTTGGGGATTAAAAGTTAACACAATTATCCCTAGATTCGTGTTTAAAACCAATCATCAATCTAAAAGTTAACACAATTATTCGGGGTTATACATGTTTCACTCCCATTAGGTTTGCAAAAGAAATCATCAATCTAAAAGATAAATTAAAAACAAAGAAGCAATATTATAACCGTAAATTTCAAGTATCTGTTGCATTTTCCAATTTGGAAAACCAGAAGTGTAACATTTCATCCCAAATGGAAAATAAACTCTCATATTCAAACTATAAAAATTTTGTAAGCATACAACTTTATCACTGCATCATTAATATAAAAAAAAACCTAGTTTAATAGCATGTCTTAAAGTAAACGAAAGTTTCACTTGGGACACACAAGAAAATAAAAATTGTTGCTGTTTTGCTAAGAACATGAAAATTTCAGAATAATTATAAAAAATACAACATCCAAATTTCATCACAATATTTCTAAAACTTGCATAAATCATACCTTAGATTGCATTTTTAGCAAGATCCAGCAAAAATTCAGCAAAAATACGAAATTTTCCCAATAAAGGCATTGTCTTTTTAGCAAGATCCAGCGAAAATATGAATTTGAGGATCTGAGGCTTGATAAATATGAAAATCAAGTACGAAATCAACATTTTACGCAAATAAACGAGGGAAAATAGTGGTAACCCTAGCCTTCAACAAGTTTTACGCAAATAAACCGCAGATCTGACAATATTACAGATTTTGGGTGATTTTACACCGATTTCCTCTAGTTTTCGAAGGAAATGGGGGAAAGACGAAGAGCTGAAGTGGAAGGGATTTCCGCGGTTGGAGGGACGAGGAGAAGAAGCGAACCAAAGCAAAGAAAAGAAAACCCTAGAATGGGTTTTGTCGGGGTGGCGATGTTGTTAGAAGGAGGAAACGGGTTTTCGGGGTCTTTTTAAAGCGAACCAAACACGCCCGTAGAGGAAGAAACTAAATAAATAACATAAAAAGAAACAAAATAACCACGTCATCCAAACTATTGTTTCTAAACTCAAATGAAATTACTAACGTGTGGACGTAAAAATTCATATGAGGATGAGCATTATCCTCTTGCGTTAGCTTATGGTTGCACTGAGCATAAAGATACTGTTAGTTCACTGCTAGTCATCTCAAAGCTATGATGTTCTGAAATAGTCCCTCAGGCTATTGAGTTTTCTATTGGGTCCCCAAATTCTTATAATTTGTTCTTAAATTAGCCCCTCAAAAAACTAAAATTAGGGAAAATTACACTGAACGCTTATGAACTCTCAGCATTTTGCAGGAAACACCTGTGAACTTTCAAAATCACACCAAAACTCTAATGAATTTTCTATTTTGCAGAAAACTCCCGATTACTTTCTATATTTTGCATATGACCCCCATAAATTAGAACCATAAAATAGCATCACAAGGCATTATGAATATTGGGGGTTTAGTGTAATTTACCCAAATGGGGATCTTTTTGCAAAAGTTATCAAGGGTTTAGTGTGATTTCGAAAGTTTATAGGGGTTTACTACAAAACACTTGAAGTTCATGAGAACCCTAAAAATTACTATTAGATGCTCCAATTCCCATAAACACTTCCAAATCAATCCCTTCAAACATTAGCAAGAAATAACCGATGAGGGTCCAATAACAAATTCATCATTTAGGGGACTAATTTGAAAATATGAATGTACGGGAAAACCCGAGAACGGAGTCGTTCACTCAGCCTCCGTTCCGTTGCCTTCTTATTTTATTACCCTCTCCTCCGTTCTGTCTTTAAGATTAGTGCAAATCACAGGTGTCGCTTTCTCCTCTCCCTCTACAAGATCCCACAGGCGGAGCTCCCCATATAACTTTTATTTTTCTACATTTTCCCCCCTTTCCTCTTTC